TTTTAAATTTTTTATTATCATTTTTAATATTTTAGTTGTCAAAATATATGCAATTTCAATTACATATCTTACTTCTTTTTACATGGTAAAATATACTCTGAACGTCTTAGACTCTTAGTGGATCTCATTATCCTAGACTAAAGCTAGAGATGCTCAGAAGAATAACTACGAAAAAAAATGGTGGGTGTTGTGAAGTGTAACAAGCAAGAGGGAAAGATGTTGAACCAGCAATGAGTCATTGTTCACCAGGTAGAAGATAAGGAATTTGGACCTACCTGCCTAATAAGAAAACCCAGATAAATTCAACGTCATGACAGGACATTACCCTCTCAAATTATTAATATTCACTATGATAATGAATTTTTTTAATCTCAACTTACATAATCGCATATAACAAAACCTTTGTCCCATCCATTCCTTGGTCTTTCAGCTACATCCCCTCCAAAAAAACATAGTCCCTTCTTCTTCTTCTTGTACCATGAGATCAATGTCTGTAACTAGCTCTTTTTGCCCCCAAATTTCAGTTAAAAATTTCACCCCAGTTGTAAAGCATGCCAACAAGCTTGTGATGCTTGAATACAAACAAGTTTCCGGAAAGAAGGCAACCAAATTTCAGATCAAATCTTCCTTCAAAAACAAGGTCAAGTTTCTTTCCCTTCTCTTATCTTTCATGTTTCAATCCTTTGAATTAAAGCTAAAAGATTAATGAATTCTGCATAGATGAAAAAACATGAATTCCTGAAAGTCTCTGTCTGTTTCTTACCAGGTTTTCGAGGATCGGTCTGAAGGGATAGTCTGTTACAGGGATGAAAGTGGGGAGATTGTTTGTGAAGGATATGATGAGGGTCCTCGTTTCCATAATCAGATTTCAAGACCTTCATATCATCCGAGGTAGGAAGGAAAAGAAAAGAAAAGAAAAGAAAAGAAACTCCAGTTTTAAGATGTTTCTTGTTCTGTCCTGTCTGAAATACTGTATTTGTCAATGTTGAATCCTTTGCAGGGATGCTGAGATCTTTGATCTTCTCCAACAGAGATGGCTTCAGATTGTAAATGGAGATGAACTCAACAGCGCTGGTAAAGGTGTAATTGCTGACTCCAAGTGGAATGGCTTCAATAAGTTCTTGTAAAGGAAGCCTGGATCCTGTCAGAATTTTATAAAATTTCCCTCAAAATAATTGTTCTGCAGCCTGTGAAAAATTGAAAGAAGGAACCGTTGTTTCAATTATTAACAGATTGTGTATGGTAAGCAGATTTTGCGTAAAAGCACTTTCTTTTTCGCAATCTGGAAGATCAACTATTCAGCTTCTTCTTCAGTAACTGAGATTGAATCAACTACTACTTTTCTGACTGTTGCAAGATGTGCATTGCCTTGTTTTCTTCACCTAGGTAATAATGTTAACATGATCGTGAAACAGGTGATTTTTCTTGAATCCCCCAATTGGCGTCAGATACTATTGACAGCTACACCAAAAAATTATCGAGGTTTGTTGTTGAGTAACTTTGTTAACTCTTATTAATGGCTCTATGCAGTCCTATTATGTGGTGTATAGATATGCGCAAGTAAATAATGAACATGGTGAACATCGATCCTTTTTCTGTTGTTATCCTAGCAAATCCGTTGTTCATGGTTCTTAAGCTAATGCCTACGGAGCTCATAATAGAGTCAATATGGTCCTTTGGTGGTTGTATTAAACACTTGAGATTGAATCTGGGACATGATTAAGAGGAAACCGGAAACGGTAATTCTAATTATTATTATTTTTACATCTGACAAATTTGAAGAGGAAATGACTTTATGATTAACAAGAAAATTTTGATACAGGACAAGAATTCACATGAAATATGCATTTGTACATCAAGAAAGGCTAGATATATATATATACAAAAATTTCATAGAGAGGATCAAATATTAAACCTCGGTCAAAATTTTCCATGGCTTTCACATCATAGCCTTGTTCTGGACTTCCTAAAAAAATGATAATGAATTTCTTTCTTTTTCTTGGTTTTATAAAAAAATTCTCTCAAAAAGAATCAAAAAATGGAGATCAAAACAAAATTGAATTACGTGACTGAATGTACAATCAGTGACTATCATTCAAGTATTCAACAGAAGTCCCACCTTGTGCATTATCTTCACATTCTGACTGAGATATGCTAATTGGCTTCACGGTAGGAGACCAGTGATCTGGAACCATCAAGAAATATGTACCCATTGCTTTCCTGAACCTTTTCTTGTATTGTTTTGGTGAAATTACAGTAGGTGATACGTTCTTTGGTCCACCTAGGATGCCTGAGGCCTTCACCCATGTTTCAAGATGCTTGTCCCATGTGTACTGCCTCATGAAATCAATGATTCCAATTACTAGCTGATGCTTCTCTTCATCCACTCCAACTAGTAATGAGTAATCCATTACATTGATTGACTGCAAAAACAGGGTAAATGTGAAGAAATGACTAAAGTTGGTGACAGACTTCAGTTGATGACATGCAATCTATACTTGAAATGTGTGTTAATGTGTGGGTGTGAACAGACAGGCAAACATCCATCTCCTCATACCCTCAACCCCTCATTAACCCACCCCGAGTGTCATTCCCTTTTTCCTTCCCTCCATCCCAAGTGCATGTGTGCGCACACACATACAGAGAGTGATAAAACACTTACCGCAAGAAAGGAAGTGTCATTCCAGACTGCTCTTTCCAACAACCGCTTTGCTTTGTTACTGACAAAAATAGGGGAAGTTGGCATTGCTTCAATCAAGTTCTGATCCAGCAGAACCTTATTGCTCCCACTAGAATCTGGATTATACCGGGATCTAGAAGATCCTTTGAGATCATATAGCCGTGTAACAGTCCTTCTATATAGAAGATTCTCCATAACTAGAACATCCATCCTAGATTCTTTCCCACCTTTAAGATTTTTTGTAGTAACCTTCAACACAAAAGCCAACAATGAAGAAGTAAGTTCCAGAAAATAGAATATGGCTAGTTGAACAAACATTTTATTGCCTTTTCATCCGTAAAAGTAAAAAAGAGGGAAATATACTTTTCTTTTCCTTTTCTAATTTACATTCAGATCAGAAACTAGCATCACAGACCGTAGAAAAAAAAAAAAAAAACTGGCATATCCATCACAAAAGACCAATACAGTTTCCTGAGAGGTAGCTCCAAATATTAGTGACTTCTTCTGAGTCTTTCTCATTTCTCAAAACAAAACCATTTTGAGATTATAATGGTGTCAATTGCCATATAAACAGACAGGATCAAAATAATTCATCAAAAGAGAGTAAGTGAGGTTTTTGAAGCAAATATGTAGCACCTTTCTGACTGAGGAAGTAACAATGTTGAAACCTAACTTCTTAGCTAACACCAAACTTAGCTGGAAGGCCCATAAATATGGCTGATCCTAAGTGCCAAATTGAGGAAGGCCTAATTAGTTATCACATCAAAATTGGAAGACTTTATAATTTTGCATCTCTAAATTATATGGCATTCAACTCAAGAATACAAACATTTACAAACATATGTATAACTGTCATTTTGTTCATGCAAAACTGCCTTGAATCTGAGGAATATTCTAATACTAAAATGGAAATCTATCAGCCTATGGGGCAATGATTGAAGCAATATATTAAGTGTAGAGAATTAACAATCAAACTTAGAACTAGTTTAGCTTAAATATTATGGGAGTCAATGATGAGTTAAAAAGACAAAGCAGAGATTATAAGCTTCAAATTATGACCAAAACTATAGCATGTTTTCAAGTTAATCTAAATGGTTTTGAGATGTGGCACCTGATAAATTCCAAGAATCTTTGCCAGGCATGTTGGACTTCCCATTCCAATTGATTCAGATAAGTACTTGAAATATTCAGGGGCAAATTTCATAAATGATTCCAACTCTGTCTTTGTAACTTGTTTAATTATAAATCGTTCATCCAAGGTTTTTGCAAAGAAAACATTGCTCTTGCCACCCTGTGCTCCCCACTTTTTACAACGACTGAGGGACCTTATAAAATCAAGCTCTGATGAGCAACAAATTCTCCTTAATACTTCAAATGATTTTGCGTGGTAGCAAGTCACAGAATATTTCACCTTCCCGAGGGGACCATCATCTTCGAAAGAAACCCTGGGATGCAAAGCCTTTGCATATAAGAGTGGGTCCAAAATTAGGGAGCTCCGAGTTCCAGGCATAGATAAAATACCGTCATCAGTTGACGCAAAACTTCTATAAGAACCAAGGGTTGTCTCGTCCACAGCATGAAACAACTGATTATTCACTGACTCAAATAAAGGTGATGAGGCTATAAAATCCCCACAGTCCTTGGGTCTTTCTCCATCATCATTTATCTGGAGATGATATTCAGGGGATGCCAGAGCATAAGATATAATACTTGTAGGTTCATCATCATAAACTGGAATGACAGCATCATTGATACCCACTGGCAGAAGCAGCCTAGCCCCACCTTGCAGTTCCGGTTCTCGGACTGATGAGAGGTAGATGGGATGATACTCACTGAATGTATCAAGCTTTTGGTCACTAGTTAAAAAGTTTTTATTCAATGAACGATAGAAGCTTAGAAAAGGCACTCTTAACCAACCCACAGAATCTTCCAAATTTTCAGAGCCCTTTATTGGCAACGAAGGGTAAAGAGTATGCACAACATTGGGCCTATTTTGACCTCCATCATGGTCTTCTGACTTTAGCCCCTCTGTCACTGCAGTTACAGCAGGAAGATCTGCTACAGCAGAATCAGAAAATGAATAGGAATTGTTCTTTGGTATTTTTGTTTCTTGATGATTTTCACCTATCCATGCAGCATCAAGTGTATATGACAAATCATCAATGAAAGGAAACTGGCCCTCAGACAGGACTCGACGAACATTTGCCCGAGTTTCTACATGTTCAGATTTATCATACATGCTCTGGCTTGTAGAAAGATTACCCCTTTCTTCATTTCCACGACTTGAATCTTCACTCACGGCTAATTCTGGCTGAATTGCATCATACTGGTTAGTGACACCACCAAATTCTCCTTCATGATCTGAACTCCCATAAAGCTTTGCATCCACAACAACAGAGTCAGATCCTTTTTCGAGCTCCACTTCCAAATTCATGTCTTTGACTTTATTACCATGTGCAAAGGGTTTTTTCTCTTCTTCTAGAATTTCACTGCTCAAATCATCCCCAATGCCATTGTTATCTAAATTGGCTGCATAAATCAGGCGGTGGTCCCACATATAAGTTTGGAAAAGTAATTGCCTCCGCAGTCGATTAATCTCAAGAATGTCAATTACAGGTTGCCCTCTTCTCACTTCTCTCTTCAATGCCTTTTCCAATGATTCCTAGGGTAAAGTGAAGAACTATCAGAAACAGGAAACTTAACAGCAGCAAAGATTGACATTTTGTTTTTAATTACAATGGAATCATAAACACACACACACACACACACAACTGTTGGATCTAACAATCTAATCATGACATAAATTGCAAGTTTCTCTAATATCCAAAACAAATCAACCAGCAAAAATATTTTAACAATATATATTTAATGATGAAAACTATGATTAACAACACAGTCAGTCAAATTCAACTAACTAGAAAATGTGGCATGCATGATTGAATAGAATTTTAAATCCAATGGCTGCTTTTATCAAATGTAAACTGTACAAAACGTTTACAGTTGTTAAATTAATCCCAACTTACAAAAATATGAAAAGGAATTTGTCTATGGCCATAAATATAGAAGATTATTCTCCACAAAATTTTAAGGTACTAATATATTTTAGCCTGGTTATTGACTAGTCCATACAATAAGAAGGCAATCTGTTTGCATAATTAATATCAAATACCTGATCCACGTTCATCAATGTTCACTCAAGTTAGATGGTCTTTATAATGCCTTGACCATAAGAAGACAGGAAACCTTAATGACTAATTAACACTAGGAAGTATACCACACAAAAGAAGCCTTACCTTGAACTCTGCCCTGTCCTTTTGCAACATCCCTTCTAGTTCAATAGTTTGGTGTCTTTGTTCAGGTACCTTAATGGTGCTAAGAAGTGCCTCTTTGCCAAATTTTTTCTCTGCAATTTGACTTAGAGCATTGAGAACTTCAGAAAATAGAAGTTCCGCCCTGTCAGCCACCTGTTCACAATCAGATAATTAAACAACTACTCACACTGTAAAAATCTAACTGAAATCTTAAGGAAGCCATGAATATCATCCCCATACCTCATCTGATTCTTTTTGTATCCACTCCTGATTCTCAAAGTCAAAGTCAAGTTCTGCTGGTGGAAGATAGACAGAAAGAACATCAATTGAGGCATACCGAAAGCAAGCAACCATGTTCCCATATCTGTTCACATGTAGACACTAGAGAGTGAGAAGAGAGGGAGAGTGGTAAAGAATGAACTTTTTTCCTATTAATTATTTCAAATCATCCATCAGCCTGGTTTCAATCTACCCCCTTGAACTTAATAAATCAGTTTACTAGAACATTCCAATGCAACATAAAGAGTTAATATGGAAACCAACAAAAGAATAAGGACTTCATATAATCAAAATGGTTGATTCAATTAAACTATATATGTCTCAGTTCCAGTAAGGGCAAATAATAATTGTTCAAGGAAATAGCAAATAGCCATGGACAGATCCAGGGTGGCCACAGCTTACCCATAGAAACGAAGACAATCTCTGTGAAGGGAATGGCCACAGCTAGCGACCCTGCTTGCAGCCGCATGGTTTGAAAAACTGAGTTCCAAAAACTTCCCAAAAGATAAACCCCAAGCAGCATCAGACATCACTATCCTCCTAGTAGCTGGAGGAAAACCATTGGTCCTTGGACAACGCAGGCATCTGTGCCACATCCAGATCTTCCCATCCCTTTCACCTGGTAAGAGAATCTCTGGGAGCTTCTTAACAGATATAGTGAGAGTGCCTTGTCTATGGGTATAACAGTGAACATGTGCTTCTGAAGGCATGTCACACGAATGGCATTGATAATCCTGACCAAATTATTATGCTTCTTTAGTTTCAAAAGAATTGCCAGTGTTTCTCTAAAGAGAAAGTAAATAGAGGGAAATCCAAACTTACTTGATCAAATAAATGATCCCACAAAAATCGACCAAGAGGTTTGTCAAAGCTTCCATAGTATTTGATTCGAAAGAGATGAGACCTTTCACAGACAGTCCCTTTCCACACACATCTTGATGATAAAGAAACCAAAATGCTCTGATGGTCAGAAGGTGAGGGAGGAAATGCTTCTTCACACTGTGTTGGCTCCTCAGGATTGTTATTAGCATCTGGTTGCAAGGATGACTCTTCGGAACCACCAAGCTGATTTGCATCAGTTACTTTGTGATCTTTTTGGTCACTGCTTATCAGAGAACACTGTCTTAAAGTCTCTAAAGGCCCAACATCAATATTGAGACAATCCCTAGTGGTAGCCAGCTCCCTGTTGGCTACAGAATTTTTAACCATTGGAAACTCTCTCAGCCCCATTTCATTTTTTCCCTCAAATCCATCAACTTTTTCACAAAAAGCAGAGGATAGAAAACCTGGTGAATCTGTGGAACTTAAAGTGGGTTGTATGGACTGTAAACTTGGAGCTTTGGGTAAACAAGATGGTAGTGTCTGTTCCATTTTCTGGATAGGACCATTAATGATGAATGATGCAAGTTCTGAAGTGGGCAAACTGTTAAATCTCAACGGTTCACTATGCTGAGGTTCGTTGGACTTTTCATTGGCAGGGATAGTCAGAACTGTTGATATGGATCTCTCAATGCTTGATTGTTTATCTAGAAGTGCCACAGTAATTGGAGAGTTGAACAATGGGAGTTCTGGCAGGGAGGCTCCTTCATCAGCAAGAAAAGATGTCTCTACAGCCAAGTGATACGCTGCAAAAACCCCGTACTGGACCACATGCTTAACTTTCTTCAACTCATCTCCATTTGCACCTCTAAGTAAAATCTGAGGCAAAACATGGGAAAAAAAAAGAAAATAAATAAAATGTACCAAGCCCTTGTACAGCACATCCAAGGTAGCCAGCAAGAATATGAGAAGGACTACTGGAGCAAAACAACAAAATCAATCTAGCTTCACACTGTTGGGATCATAATTCTACTGCCCAATTAAGATGGTAAAGCCTTTTCAGTCAAATTTTCTGTTAGAATCTTTGTAGGAGGAGACATAGCATCTGATAATATATTCATGAAGTATGATTAAATTGTCACATCTGCACCAAATTGAAGTGGTTCAAATTTTTAACTCTTGTTCATGTTCTTTTTGCTTTATCTTCTCTTTTCTTTTTTTTTTTGGGTGCTTTTTTGAACTTACAGTTAAACCCAATGGCTTTGGGCAGCCTTCAAAGTACATCATGGTTTTAAACAGTTTTTTTCCTTCTTGTCTAGCAGTGCCAATGTCTTCAACAAATCGTTCCACATGAAATTTCTCACAGTAGCCCAGCTTTTGGGAAGACAGATGATCGATTGAAGAGACTATTTGAGCCCCTGTGCAGCGGGCTATCTGCTCTAAAAGTGGCCTCTTGATATTAAGAACAAGTGATATATCTTTGCCAAGAAGATACTCCTGTGCAAATCGAGAAACTGATTTCTCTACCAGAAGAAGATTAGGGTGCTGAGCATCTATCTTTGCTACTGCCATCTTCAAATGGTCCATTTCCTGGTTAAGGATGTTGAACCCATAAGCAAATAAAAGAAACAAGGAAAAGTGAAAAAAAGAAGAAGAGAGAAAATCAAGTTGCTGGTAAACAGCAATAGATCAAATCACCAAGTGCAAACAGAAAGAAATGTATAAACAAGCAAAACCTGCTGTAACAAGGTATCAAAACTTGACAATTGATTAGAAACCCGCTGGTACTCGAGAGCACCTCCAAGAATCAACAACCGTGGTTTCTCTATTTTTGAAGTCATCCGCCGATGAGCAACATTTTTCTTGCAAACAACTCCCTTGACCACCATACTAGAAGAAGCAGAGAAAAATCTAACTCAGAAAAAAGAAAAAAGAAAAAAAAA